AACCCAGCCCCGGCCAGGTAAACAACAATAACAACTACAGCCGGGCGTTGCACTGGGTGCCAACAGTCCCAGCTAATTGGGAAACGGAGGCAGAGAATCGCCTTGAGGTTGGGGCGAGGTGTGATGCCACAGCACTCAACTAAGAGCAACACAGGGAGATTCTGTGTCTCACAACAACAAAAAAAGAAAGAAACAGATACCCAAATTGGAGAAATTTTCATCCTCCTGTGCACAAGATCTGAAAGTCGCCTCAAATTCCACGTCGACCTGAATGAGTCCACACCACCAGCTGGATGTGATACATGAATAAATAGGTCACCTGTGCCAGCAAAGGGCTCTCGGGGCAGCCTCTAAAATATTAAAGGGAAAATCCCAGAAATATACAGTTTGTACGTTTTACTCGGCACGCTGTCCTGGGTAGCAAGATGACACTGCACCATCCTATCCAGGACAACTCGGCCAGTAGCCACGGACTCAGTGATGGAGCAGAGAAACTGCTCTCTTTAAAAACACCAAAAATAAACCAATTGAGATAACCTGAGGTCAAGTTCTACTGCACTGAACTGGAGCTAATTAGAGAGTTTAGGTATATAAAGAACTCTGGTGCTTTCCCGGAAGCAGGGACCGCTGTAATCAGACACTGTTGTCTTTTCTCCAAGTTCCTCCTGGAGGCTGGCCATTCCCGGTGGTACTGGGGGCGGTAGAGGAATTAGCCAGCTTTCTGCCTCCACTGTCTGCTCTGAGTTTGTCTGTTCCAATGTCCTTCATTTTCTTTTTTTTCCAGACACAGTCTCACTATGCCGCCCTTGGTAGAGTGCCGTAGCCTCACAGCTCACAGCAACCTCTAACTCTTGGGCTTAAGCGATTCTCTTGCCTCAGCCTCCCAAGTACCTGGGACTACAGGAACCCGCCACAACGCCCAGCTATTTTTTTGTTGCAGTTGCCGTTGTTGTTTAGCAGGCCCTGGCTGGGTTCGAACCCACAAGCCTGGGTGCATGTGACTGGCGTTCTAGCCACTGAGCTACACGCCCCCCCGCCCCCCGCCCCGTGTTTCCTCTTCTCATAAGAATACCTGGACTAAAGGCTCACAGCAGAAGGCCATGAGCCCATCCTAGCTTGCAGTGTAATCACATCTTCCAAGACTCTGTTTGCAAATAAAGTTCTACTCATAGGTGTGACAGAGGTGAGGACTTTAGCCTGTCTTCTTAGGAGACCATTCAGCCCACAACAGGTAGAATTCCCAGAATTGGAGGCCCTCGCCTAAGACATTACAGACACTCCACAATTTCACCCTGAGTTTAGAAAAACATCTGACGAGAAGAACCAAACACAGAAGAAGGGGCCCCACTGCCCCAACCCTGCTATGGAAAGAATTCCCTACCTGCTTCTCCACTCTTAGCCAAACTTGTTCCTTTCAACAGCGACATCCTAAGCTGTCATTTTCACATGAATTCTGTTCATAGTCAGTGTTCTCCTAATTTCACTGCAAACACATCCCAGATGGTATCACTTGGGGCCCAGCAAAATCTAGCTGCTAGATACAGTTTTCAGAAAAACTCACTTTCAAAAAACACTTTCTGGCTCGGCGCCTATAGCTCAACCGGCTAAGGCGCCAGCCACGTACACCTAAGGTGGCGGGTTCGAATCCCCAGCCCGGACCCGCCAGACAACAATGACGGCTGCAACCAAAAAATGGCCGGGCGTTGTGGCGGGTGCCTGTGGTCCCAGCTACTTGGGAGGCAGAGGCAGGAGACTTGCTTGAGCCCAGGAGTTGGAGGTTGCTGTGAGCTGTGATGCCACAGCACTCTACCCAGGGGGACAGCTTGAGGCTCTGTCTCAAAAAAAAAAAAAAAAAAAAAAAAACACTTTCTAAGATTCACCGCGTGTTTTTTAGTTTGAGACTTTATGTACTCAGTTAAAAACAGTTTGTCTAGAATAGGTGAGGATGATTTAGCAGTAACGTAAAGGGGTCTACATCACTGTTAGAACATACCTACTTAAAAACCTACAAATCTAATGTCCTTTTGCAGAAATCACAACTTTAGAGAAGAGACAAAACCAGAAGCCATTCTTTAAGACAGAGTCTTATTATGTCACTCTCACTAGAGTGCTGTACTATCACAGCTCACAGCAACCTCTAACTCTTGGGCTTATGTGATTCTCTTGCCTCAGTCTCCCAAGTAGCTGGGACTACAGGTGCCGGCCAGAATGCCCAGCTATTTTTTTGTTGCAATTGTTTAGCTGGCCCAGGCCAGGTTTGAACCCACCCCCTTCGGTGTATGTGGCTGGCACTATAACCATTGTGCTACAGGCGCTGAGCCTAGAAGCCATTCCTAATCACCAGAAGAAAATCTGTGTGCTCTGGTTTATTTCCTTTCTTTACAGCCACAGGCTGAATCCCATGGGCCACGATGGGATCTCGGACTCCAGCCTCCATCCAAGACTGTGAGCGATAATTTGTGTGTGTTTGTAAATTACCGAGTCTAAGGCATTTTTTCACAGGAGCCACAATAGACCAAGACATTCACAGCAAGAAAAGACAAGGCAGAAGCAGAATTCATTGGCTAAATGCTGGGTATGTCCAGCTGGGGGCCTCCAAGTGGAGATGCCCGACTCTCGACCAGAAACCGCCACAATGGCTTTAATGAAGTGAGTTCCGTGAAAAACTGATGTAATATGGTTCCTGAGAAAGCTTTGGATGGGAGTGGAGGGGACCAAGAGCTCTGCAGGGTCAACCTCTTCCCAATGGAGGTGCCAGGCTCACCCAGGTGGGAGCAGGGGTTTATGGAAGCAGAGCCCCGTCTGTGCCATCAAAGGCTGAGCAGATGTGAGTGCTCAGGGCTGTCATGCTCCGAGGCTTGGCAGAGGTCACAAGCTCAGTGCACCGTAAGAAGCAGAGCGGGGAGAGCACGGGGGACCCCAGGAGACCGACTCACAGCCTGACCAGGAACGGGTGGCTGACTTCCTTGAGGACCGACTTCTCATTGTGCACGTGCTGCTCCTGCTTCAAGCGGATCACGTCAGGGATGCTCATGACCTTGAGGGCGAAGAACTGCTCGGTGCTCTTCTCCTTCACCAGGTGCACCCGCCCGAACGTCCCTGTGCCTGGGACGGGAAGAACAGGGGGAAGCGATCAGACCTCCAAGCAAGAAGCAACCACAGGCATTCAAGAAGCAGCTGGCTGCACTGGGACCCCCAAACAGGCTCCGCCCCCAAACAGGCTCCGCCCCCCAAAACAGTCTCCGCCAACTTCGGAATCTCAGCATCATGGCCCATGGGACGGCTCTCACCTAGAATTTGAACGTGAATACACTCAGAGTCACAGAGAGGGTCTTCAATTTGGGGAAAAACATGCCATTCTTTCGACTAATGCATCTTCCTTGGAGACCTGGCCCCTCGCCCCGGCCAACACACACCCATGCAAACTTTCCCACCTAGTAAAGAATAGTAAATGTACTTCTTCAACATGCCCTTTTTCTCTGCAAACTTTTTAGAGAAAGACAGACCTCAGACGCACACGGCCTCCCCCACAATCCTGCTAAAGGCACTGAGGCTTTATTTTAAAATCTGGCACAAGCTGGCATGAACCAGTTGTAGGTGCTCGTAGAGAGAGGAAATACTACATTTTTGCCATGGATCGTACACATGTTTTTACCCAATTTTGTTGAAGGGAAAATCAGACTGCCCCTTATACATGGGTGGTAGTATTGTTCCCAGTATGTAAAACTTCTTGTACCCGCTGTCTGCACTTGTGTCTTACATTTGTTACATAAAATGTCTTGTACTATAATACAGGGTGGCTATAAAGTCCCTGTGCAGTTTTGTTTTGTTTTGTTTTGTTGTAGCCTTGCAAACACAAGACCTCAAAAAAACTGGGTAAAGACTCACAATTGTTCCTCTCCACAGAAATCTTTAGTAGCAGGCAAAAGATTTATGTGATCTGAAGAGAAACCAGAGTGTCCATGTGCCGTTTTAAATTCCACACTATTTGAATTTGCACATGAAGTTTAGGGCCACCCTGTATGATAAAAAGTAAAGGCCACAATTCCTTTATGAAACAAAAAAAAACGAGTACCTAGATACAAACAAATAAAATTTTTAATTAACAAATTAAAATGAGGCTCAGCACCTGTAATACAGTGGTGATGGCACTCATCACATACACTGAAGTTGGCAGCATCAAACCTGGCCAGTGCCAGCTAACCAACAATCACAACTACAACAAAAAAATAGCCAGGCGTTGTGGTGGGCACTTGTAGTCCCAGCTGCTTGGGAGGCTGAGGTAAGAGAATTGCTTGGCCTGAGAGTTTGAGGTTGCTGTGATCTGTGATGCCACCACACTCTACCCAGCATGACAGTTTGAAATTTTGTCTCAAAAAACAAAAAAAAAGATTGGGCAGCACCTGTGGCTCAGTAAGTAGGGCGCAGCCCTGTATACTGAGGGTGGCAGGTTCGAACCCGGCCCCAGCCAAACTGCAACAACAACAAAAAAAAAGCCAGGAGTTGTGGCAGGCACCTGTAGTCCCAGTTACTCAGGAGGCTGAAGCAAGAGAATCACCTAAGGCTCCAGGTGTCAAAACTGCACACCGCAGTTTTAAACACTGTAGGGTGTTTTTGCCACCGCTGCCTGTCCTGCTTAGCAGCCGACTCGTCCCGGGGTCCGCAGTCCAGCCCTCCAATGGTCTGAGGGACAGTGAACTAG